ATTTTAATGGAACAAAATGCGTATTCAAGACTCATTGGGGCCTGAGTGATAGTACAGCTGGTAGGGTACATGCATGCGTCTGACCCAAGTTCAAATTCTGGCATCCTGCATTGTCCCCCATTTTCTGCCATAGTGATCCTTGAACACAGAGCCAGGATAAGTCCCAAGCACCACCAGGTAGGTCCCCCTACAAGACTAATTTTTAAATTTTTTCCTTGATTAAAGTACTGTGATTTGCAATACTGTTGCATATATATAATCCAAACACCACACTTATCACCAGTGTACCCACCTTCCTCCCTCAAAGTCCCCAATGCCTCTATTTCAAGAACCCCCCCAAAACAGATTTTGCTTTAGTTCAACCACTGTATTGTCTTTGGCCATTTGTTGATATATTTAAATCCAATTTATGAGAGAGATCATTCTGTACCTATTCAATTCCTCTGAGTAACTTTACCCATACATGTCCTCTAGTTCCATCCATGTGATAAAAAATTAATTGTTTTGTCTATTCTTAGAGCTGCACGGTATTGTGGTATGTATATATATATCACAACTTCTTGACCCATTCATCCATAGGTGGCATTTGGATTATATTCATATCTTGGCTATTGTACTAAATTCTGTGACGAATGAACATAGTTGTGTATATATCCTTTTCAATTAATGTTTCTATATTTTTGGAGGTAGATGTAATAAGTGGTATTGCTAGGTCATATGGGAATTCTATTCCTATTTTTTGAGAGATCTCCATATTGAACCAAACAACAGTCCCACCAACAGTGGATGAGATTTCTTTTTTCAAAGTCACTCAGTTACTCTGGCTGTTTCCAGACTTTTTTTTTAATGTATCATTCTCACTGGAATGAGATGAGATCAGTGTTGATTTACACTTCCTAGTTATTAGTGACAATGAACACTTTTTCATATTCCTATTGGCCATCTGCATGTCTTCTCTGGGGAAATATCTGTTCATTGTCTCTCTACATTTTTTTATGGGAGTCATTGAATTTTTTTGTTGCTTAGCTTCATGAATATTTTAAAAATTTGGGGTATTAACCATTCATCTGACATATTGTATGCAGATATTTTATCACATTCAATAGAATGGTTTTTTTTTTGTCATAGCTTGAGTTTCTTCTGCTGTGCAGAGTATTTGAATTTGATGTAGTCTTATTTATTTTTGTTTTTGTTGTCTTTGCCTCTGTGTCTTCAATGTCTTTGCTTTCAGTGTCTTCAAATTGAAGACACTTCTGAGGTCAATTTCCTAGAGAGTTCTGCCAGTGTTTTTTCTATGTACTTTATAGATTCTGGTAAAATCTTGAGAGTTTTTAATCCAGTTTGCGTTTATTTTTGTAAATAGTATGAGTTACTCAGTTCTAATCTTATTTTTTAAAACATGTGGATCCCAAGTTTCCCCAACACCATTTGTTAAAGAGTTGTTCTATGTTCCACCTCGTATGCTTAGCACTTCGTTATAGATTAACTGTCCATAAATTGGGGAATTAACTCAGAACTCTAAATTCTATTCCACTGGCCTATAGGTCTATCTTTATTCCAGTATCAAACAGTTTTGATTATTATAGCTTTGTAGCATAAGTCATATTGGCAAATGCAGTGCCTCCCATCTTTCTGTGTCTGTGTCCCTTAGAATTGCTTTGGTTTTTTGTGCAAGTCTTACATTTCCATATATCTTTTAGTAGAGTTTGTTACAATTCTTTGAAAAACATCATTGTGAGTGTGCCTTTGAATTGTTTTTGCATTTGGCTAATCTTCTAGTTCTATAACTTTGAGTAGTTTTTGTTACAAGTCTTGGAAAAACATTAGATTTTTAATGGGTTTTGCTTGAATCTGTATAACACTTTGGGTTAGTGGAGCATTTTGACAGTGTTGGTTTGTTTAATTCATGATCAGGGTATGTGTTTTCATTTCTAATTTCCTCTTCTCTTTCTTTTAGTAATGATTTACATTTTTCCCTGTCGTAAAACTTCACTTCCCTTTTTAACTTGATGCTTCAGTATTTGATGTTTTGGGGTACTATTTTGTAAGGGGTGTAATATCTTTTTATTCTAGTTTATTGTTTATATACAGTAGTGAAAAATATTTTTGTGTAGTAATTTTGTAACTTGATACCTTATTGCTCTGGTTTATTATTACTAAAAGGCTGTTGTTTTTGGTGCAGTCTATATCATTTTCAATATATAGTATCATGTTGTCCTAAATTAGAGATGGTTTGATTCTTTATTTTACAGCTTTATCACTTTGATATTTTTTTGTGTCTGGTTACTGTTGTGAGGACTTCTAACACTAAGTTGTATAAGAATGGTGACAATGGACATCCTTGCCTTGTGCTGATTTCAGGGGAAAGGTTTTTATTTTTCACCATTGAATATGACACTGGCTGTGATTTTTTTTTTTTTGTGGATGGCCATTACTATCTTGAGATATATTTCTTCTGTCTCCTTTTTGGAGGTTTTTTTTTATGAGTGAATGTTGGATCTATAAAATAGCCTACTCTGTGTCAACTCATCTGACGATGATTTTTGCTTTTCTTTTTGCTCACATGGTGTATTTTTTAAATTGATTTGAGTATATTGAACCATCCTTGCCTCCCTGGGATGAGCCCAAGTTGATATTTGTGTATAGAACTTTTGATATAAGTGAATTCATTTTGCTAGGATTTTATTGAGGATTTTGTTGAGGATTTTGCATCAATAATCATCAGGAATAATGATCTATCATTTTCTTTTTTAGGAGTGCCTATTTTTGGTATCAGTGTTATTCTGGTTTCATAGAAGTTATTGGAGAAGATATCTCTTTCCTAAATATTTTGAGAAAGCTTGAGACATATGGGCACTAAGTCATCTTTGAGTTTTGGTAGAATTCACCAGTAAATTCATCTTGACCTGGGCCTTTGCTTTGGGGGAAATTTTTTCAATATAACTTTATTAAGTCATCAATTTAATTACAGACATTGAATATTCCAACACAAATTCCACCACCATTATATTGAATATTCCAACACCAATCCGACCTCCACTGCACCTTCCCACCACCATTATTTCCAATTTTCTCAACCATCCCTTAGGCCTACCCCCATAGCAGGCCCTCAATAACTTATTTTATATTGCTTGTTATATATAATTTGCTAAAAGAATGATCAAAAAGTGTTTCTTTAGAAGAAAGTTAATAAAGATTGCTGTATCTCACCATAAAGTCATTAAGCCCTTGTATGAGAGAATATTAACATGTTGTTGGGACTGGAGCAATAGTACAATGTGTAGAGATTTGCCTTGCACGTGGCTGACCCGGGTTCGATTCCCAGAATCCCATATGGTCCCCTGAGCACCACCAGGAGTAATTCGTGGGTGCAAAGACAGGAGTAACCCCTGTGCATTGCCGGGTGTGACCCAAAAAACAAACAAAAAAAGAGATGTTGTTACAGGTTAAGCGTGTTTATATGTTGTTAATTGAGACTGGTTACCTTCGACATTACATCCCATCCAATCTGGTGTACTATTCCTGGTTTATCAATATTGTAGAGTTTGAGATGTTGCTTCAAGAAGTCCAGAAATTTTAATGGGGTGATGCAGGAGTTACATTTTTAAGTGAGTGGCGGCTTTTGGGCATGTACATGTCTCCTCGGGGTTCCAAAAGTACAGCAAGTTGGGGGTAGGTAACCCACTTTTGACTTCTTGAAAGCCCAGAAATTAGTCACAAAACCTGTATACCTGAGTTTTTCAACCTTAATTTCTGAACGAGGCTTGTCCAAGCCATGGAGTCTGGCCAGGAACATGGCAGCGATTATAAAATGAGGAGGTTTTTGGCTGCCAGGGCTTTGTTTGAGAAGGTGCTGGGCTCACCGGACCCCCTTCGGAGTATCTTGAGGATAATTTCAATTACCATTTCATTTTCTTTACTCAATATTTATGTATTAAGGTTTTCTGAAAATTTCTTCTTGGTTCAATCTTTAAAGTTCATATGATTCTAATAATTTGTCCATTTCTTTTAGGTTCACAAGTTTGATGAGTTTAACTCAGAGTTTGTTGATCTTATTTACTCTTTCAAATAACCAACTCTGGTTTCATTGGCCCTTTATATTATTTATTTATTTTCTAGCACAGCAGGTAGGGCATTTTCCTTGCACACAGCTGACCTGGGTTTGATTCCTCTGCCCCTCTCAGAGAGCCCGTCAAGCTACCAAGAGTATCCTGCCCGCACGGCAGAGCCTGACAAGCTCCTCATGGCATGTTCGATATGCCAAAAACAGTAACAGTCTCACAATGGAGATGTTACTGGTGCCCGCTTGAGCAAATCGATGAACAACAAGAGGACAGTGCTACAGTGCTACAGTTATTGATTTCCATTAGAATTTTATTATCTCCTGATATTACTTGCTTGGGGATTAATTTATTGTTCTTTTTCTAGATCCTTTAGCTATCAGATTAGATTATTGATTTGAGCCCTTTCTTCCTGTTGTGCTCAAGAGCTGTTTTTTTTTGTTTATTTTTTTAAACTGTAAACTTTCTCTTAATATTGTTTTTTGCTGTGTCCTGTAGGTTCTGGTAGGTAGTGTCTTTGTTCTTCTTTATTTCAAGAAATCTTTTGATTTCTTCTTTGACTTCTTTTTTGATCCAATTTTTATTTATTAGTGTGTTGTTTAGTCTCCAGGTATTTAATTTTTTTCCTACTATTTTTTTCTGGAAATTAAACCTAGGACCTTATACTTGCAAGGCATGAACTTCACTTATTATTTAAGAATAAGTTATCTGGAGGTGGTTTGGGACACACTAAGTGATGCTGAGAGCTTATTCCTTTCTGTGCTCAGGGAATTACTTCTAGACAGCCTTAGAGGACCATATGGAGTGCCAGGGATTGAACTTGGTTTTGCCGTATACAAGGAAAGTGTCACGACCTCTATGCTATCACTCTGTTCCCCAAAGAATAACCAGTATTGAATTAAAAGATTTACTTAACAAAGACTCTTATCTAATGTCTAGGTACTGTTTCTGACCATATGGAGAGAGTATATAGAAGAGCTGGCAGCAAAAAACTCTGGTGCGTATTGGCATCTTTATTCTTATTGTTTTCTTTTATTTTTGTGTTATTAAATTCAACAGTCAAAAAGTAATGGACCAATTTTAAATATGGCCATTTATCTTAATTTTAACTTTTAAACTTCAAGGTTAGTGCATCTTTATTATCTACTTTCTGAGGATCTACGGAAATTCTGTTGTATCATGACAAAATTCTATTCCACAATGTTTGAAAAGTACCTGGGAATAAATACCAATATAGTAATAGAGCTTGAAGTCTATACACTAGAATGATGTACTAATGATTGTTTTCTACCTTCCACCTCATTTGCTTCAGCAAGGCACTTTTGATTCTACATTGTATTCAGGAAATCTGTCTATTATGGAAGACCATGGAAAGAGAGCTATGGTTCACTTATACATAAGCAAACATAATACTCTTAAAAGATAGTTCTCTTGCCATTTAAGTTCATTTAAATTGAGTGAATACTAGTGACGGTAGTTGCTTCATGATATGTTTTAAAGAAGTAGTTTCTTCCCAGTAATTGAAAAAAAATTAGGTAAGTTGAGGTAAAATTATTAAAATTCTCAATGGAGGATGTATGCCTAAATGCATGGCCTTTTGCATTTTTAAGCTCTTCTAACAGTTTTATTAGTAGAATATAACATTTTGAAAGTAAGATTATATGTTTTTAATTATACATTATTAGCTGATGCTGAGAAAAGGTCTCAAGCAATGTTATAAGAAACTCCCTTAAATCTCAATGAGCTTGCTTCTAATCACTAAAATAGGGGGTAAGACATTTAGCATTATTTCAACCCTATGATTTATAGTAAATATTTTATTCTTTTTAGAAGAAATAGTGTAAAAATTCTGTGGTTAAATATCACTTTTTTCCTATAAATTTTTAGCATAGTAAGGTATGTAGCCAATAGATGCTGCTTTTTAGCCTGTAAGTTAAAAATGTAGTCTATGATACTAATTTTAGCTAAACCAATGTGGTTTTGCCTTATATCTTGTACTTACATTTAAAATAAACTATTTATTAGCCAACACTTAGAGTGCTATTTAAAATAACAAACCCTTGGAAGTTTTATTTATCTGTTTTCCCTTTTACTGCTTTCCACTGACATACCAGGTTGACTGTGCGCTACGGGGCTGCTTTTACCCAGAAATTTTCTTCCTCTATAGCCCCACACATTACTACTTTACTGGTACACGGGAAACAGGTAACCTGCACAGAATGTGGAAACTTAGGTTGCTTGAAATGTGTGGTCTTATTTGCATTCTCAAAGGTTAAACATATTTTTTGGTCTTATAATGTGTGGGTGAAAGCTTCTCTAAAAAAAGGAAGTGTTTGTTTCACTAACTATCAGCTATTTATTTTTGATAATTCATCTGTGTGAAGATTAAATAATATAAATGCCTTTTTTAGGCCAGATTCCATGGATATCCTAAAATACCAGGAAAAAAATTTTAATTTAGATTTTCCCTCCATCTAAAAGTTCCATGTAAATTCTTACTTTTAAATAGAAAAAAAAACTATATTGCATGTGCTTTGCTTAAACAAAATAACTGATCTTACTATAGTCTAAGATTTTTTTTTTCAGAAATGTACAATATAGTAGTATGACTTCTTCCCTCCAACGTTCTGGCTTTATCAAAATTTAAAAGATATATACTTTTATTTCATCATACCACTTCCAAATATCAAAAAATAAATTTCTTAATCCAGAAATTTGGTCATCTAGGCACTAAAACAAAACCCACAAAAATGTAAAGTAATTATAGAAACAGATAATATATACCAGTGCTATACCATATAATGAAAATTTTGATGCAAAATCAAAATATACCATTTATTTCTACCCCAATCCCGATGAAAAGTATTGTTAGACTCTGTTTTATCCTTTTTAAACTGATAAAAGTCACAAACTAAAGCTTGGCACAGCCTGCTGGCAGAGGTGAAGATAAGAGACTCCTAATTTATTCTGGATGACTCTACAGTTTGGGAAATTTTCACTGTTAGACCCAAGACCAGTGTTTTTGCCAAGTGAGGACCTAATTGTGCATAATTTTTCAACTCCCCAGTTAGTGGTCCCATTCAGCATCTTTTAGATATGTCAACCTCTGGCCTGCTCTCTTCTTTGCCCCCAGGTCGGTTGTGCGTCATGCAGCAAGTCTTTTAAGTAAAGTAGTGGACAGCCTGGCCCCATCCATTACTAATGTATTAGTGCAGGGCAAACAGGTAAGTATCTGATTTTCAGATTCTCTTTTGGTCATGGTTACAAAACTTTCTGGGTAGAATTCTTATTTTTAAATCTGGCAAATCTTGGTTTCACATACCTCTGAACAAGTATACTTACAACGGCTCAGACATTTCTGCAAAGGACTCCTTTGCCAAGAAAAACCTAGTCACAAAGATGGACAGTAACTAAATAGAGCACCACTTCCCCTGCCACATCTTAGACCTGTGATTTTCAACTCCATGGAAAATCTCCGTAACTTGAAACCAGTGAAGGTACTGACACAGAAATTGGACTAATACCTATTCCAGACAGGTTCAGAAGAGAGCAATGCAGGTGAATCGTTAGGGGCACATTTTTCTTCTACTCCACATGAGATTCTTTTTCTCCTTAGAAATTCATTGGCTCCCCTCGATGTTTAACCCTCAGAGTCACCTCTTCCTTTGACTCTTCCCTTCCTAACAGGGTCAACTCTTTTTACCTCCTGCTCACAGAATCATCTCCAGTTAGCAGCAGTCCTTTTTTTGTAAAATGAGGGATCTCAGGATGCTTCTCACACTATCCTGAATCCTAATTCACTTGAAATTATCTCTTACCCTGGGATTGTCTGTGAACCCAGGATCAGAGGCACATCTTGTCTAGCACCTGAACCAGTGGGCCCAGCATTGGTAAATGCACATTGAATTGAGCCTGTGCACTTGGGCATGCAAAGTAGGATGTAGCTGCTTGATTGTTGGTTGTTTTCTATAAAGCTTTAGTTGCCTGCATGATTTATAATTTGATCGGAATAAAGATTTGTTTGCTTTTTAATCTCTTCTTTGGGAATGTGTGTGCTTTATGTTTTCCTGACAACTAACCTAGGGATATAATAAGCTTTAATAGTATGAAATATTTTAACCTTCTTTAATAGAATCAACACATTGCTCATATTTCAAAGCTATTAATTCATTTAAATTGAGATTATTTCATACTTACATCTAGCTCTTAAAATGTTAGGAAAAATTATTTATTCTGTAATGTAATCATTAATAACAATGGAAAATGATTGTACTAATAAAAAAAATCTCATGAGAAAAAGCCAACTGACTTTCCCATAAGTTATTTTCAGTGTTTTCTACAAATTGTTAATGGGAAATTTTTCTTTCCCCTGCTGTAGGCTTAGATAAATCAAGATGCAGGATACAATTTATCCATCTTCTTCTCAGACCCAGAATCTCATATTGTTGTGGACTGGGCATGTTATCCTCTACTGGGCCCCCTCTAAAAGAAAATAAATGGGCTTTAGAAAGATATTTTCCTTTAACTTTAGGTCCCTGCAGTGTATCTGAAAATATAATGCTACTACACATGAATTGGTTTTGGATATTTTTAGGTAACTGACACTTAACATTTGGAAAGGGAGCTGGGGTTAGGATGGGCATATTTTTAATATTTATCTAAAGAGGCTTATAGACTGACATATGAAGGCTGCTCCTATGCCCTGGAAACCTGTGAGCCTGTCCAGAGGTCTGTGGCAGAACTGCTGCCTCTGAGATCCACATTGCCTGGGAAGGAGTCCCGAACAGAATTGAGAGGCCTGGAAGACTAATGCACTCTCCTTCAGGTGCTTAAAAGTCTATTCAGTGGATGTATCTCCCCACTTTACAAAAAGAAATAAAAATGGATATTCTAAGTTTGCATTCATTCACTTATGAAACAAGAACCCAAGAATTGAAATAAGATTATTTCTACATAGCTAGCACTTAAGATCACCAAAAGCTCTCAGGAATGAAATAGTGGTTTAGTCATCATTGCTTCCAGAGGTAATAATGTGTCCTATGTTTGTTTTCTTTTTTACAAGCTGACATTTTATAAAATAATAGCACTTTCACTAACTGGTTGGTATCACTTGTGATAATATATATATATGTACAGCAGCTACTCATTTTCACCCTTACAAAGCTCGGGTGAAAGGACCCCAGGTTCTGCTACCTCCCCTCATCTCTGAAATCACAGTTTCCTTTTGATAAATTCTCTTTTATTTTTGGCATCTTAGAATTGTGTGCTGTATGTGAAAGAGAAACAAAGTGGTTATAAGGATAAAGGATACATATTGAACTCTTCTGGGAGGCAAAATATCAACATGGAAGCAAAGGGAGAGACCAAAATTTTCTCTTGCCAGCTCTAGTAGTTTCTATTATGAGTTTTCATTGACACTTCCTTCTGTACTTTCTTCATCCTAGGTTTGTGGGAAGTATTGTTTATTTACTTCCACAGGTGAAAGATATATTAACAGGTATTTAAAAACCAAGTGTCTAACACAATGTCATAAGAGTAAGGACTCACTACAACTATATCACATCATACCGGCTTTTGGAAATATGGCAGTGTGTTAGCATAAAGTTTCACATAAAGAAACTATATAGAAGCAAAAAAAAAAAAAATCTTTTACTTACTAAGTTGTGTAGCCTGGCCAGGAAAGTAAAACTATTCAATGTGTTATGGTTTCTCTGGGGAGTTCCTTAGTACCTTCCCCAGTGTAATTTTATTTATATTCTTTTCTTGATTTTATTCAATCACCTCTACTCCCATCTCAGGACTCTTACCTGCCCTTATAATTTAGACCAGACTGTAAACCATCATGAAGTCCAGTGGGAATCATGCTTTGAAAGTCATTTTAATAAATAGTAGGAACATTTATTCTATTTAATTCCCTAGTTCACATAGAGTAATTTCAGCCTGCCAGTCATCCTAAGCCTTGAATCTTTAAACTTTTATCGTTTAGTGGCCTTTACAATAAAATTCTGCCACTTATAGGTCACTTTGGGTGCCTTTGGGCATGAAGAAGAAGTCATCTCAAATCCTTTGTCACCAAGAGTGATTAAGAACATCATCTATTACAAGTGTAACACTCACGATGAGAGGGAGGCAGTCATTCAACAAGAACTGGTCATCCATATTGGCTGGATCATCTCTAATAACCCTGAGCTGTTTAGTGGCATGCTGAAAATACGAATTGGGTGAGTTGATTATTTTGCATTTTCAGGAAAAGAATTATACAAATTGTCCTCTAACAGACTTGGTTTTTCTGCTAGCTGAATTTTAGAAAAGTGTATCTTCTCCCTTAATTCACAGAGGTGACAGCTGTGGATTGAGGAAATAAATATATCAGTGACCTGAGAGAATACTGTTTACTTAATCTTCATGTTAAATATAGTGAAGTAATTCTGTTTTAGGTAACAATCAAACTCCTGGGATTTAAACAGCTGCCACAGTCATCTCTGTGGCAGGGGATAAATGGCCCAGGCTCTCTGCCCTCACTTTTAGTTATACCACATTGTTTTATATGAGATGAAATATGTTTTTTCAAAGTCTATCGCAATGAAATGGACTATAGATATTTCTTTTATAAAATATATTTCTATAGTATAAGTACCATGTAAATATGGTCTAATTGTCAATACTCAATAGTGTAACCTAATATGTTACACTATTAGGTTAGTGTGTGGGTGTTATCAAGTTTTTAAAAGAACATAGTCTCTGATCGGCACAAATAAATTCAGATGAATGCACCTGGGTGTGAGTGTATAGCTTACTGATTGTATAATTAGGCCATTATCTTTATTATTTTTGCTCTTTCTGTTCCTTGATTGCTTATAAAATTCTTATATATTTCTCATTGTTATTATACATTTGTACATTTCTCCTTGTATTTTTATCAATTATTGAAAGCCTAATTTGGGTGCATATTGGGGTTTTTAATCACGATGTCTTCCTTATGTCACATTTTGCTTTTCCGTTTAAATCCTATTTTGTGTTTTGGTTTTTGCATAACAGACAGTGGTGCTCTGGGCTTACTCATGGCTCTGGGCTCAGGAATCACTCTGCATGGGGGCTCTGGACCTGACAGTGCCAGGGAGGGAAACAGGGTCAGTTGCACACAAGCAGGTACCTTATCTACTATCTCTCAGGCCCTCAACTTAAATTCTTTTTCTTTTCCTTTGGGGGGTTCACATCTGGCGATGCTCAAGGGTTACTCCTGGCTCTGCACTCAGGAATTACCCCTGGCGGTGCTCGAGGGACCGGGGAGGATGCTGTGAATCGAACCTGAGTCGGCCATAGTGCAAGGCAAACACCCTACCCGCTGTGCTATTGCTCCAGCCCCGCGCAACTTAAATTCTTAAAAACATTTTTTAAATGTCATACATACAAAGTACAGACAGATGTTACTCTGTTTCAATACTATCACCATATAGTTAGCTTCTTTCATTTGTCCCCTATCTGCAGGCAGTTTCTCTAGGTTTAAAGCCAATCTATCAGGTCACTTAATGGGCACACACTTAACTGTATTTCCAGAAGGCAGGACTCTAAAAATATATATCCTGGGCGAATAACTGCATGCTTGGTGTTAGAAAAGTGTATCTTCTCCCCTAATTCACAGAAGTGACAGCTCTGGATTGAGGAAACAAATATCAGTGACCTGAGAGAATACTGTTTACTTAATCTTCATGTTAAGTATAGTGAAGTAATTCTGTTCTAGGTAAAAGGGTTAGATCCCTGGCTCCACATGGTTCCAACCAAGGTGATGCTGAGAGCAAACCCTAAGTACAGACGGGAGTGATGCCTAACAACTGCCTGATGTGACCTTGCCCCCCTCAAAAGACAATAACAAATATATATCCATGATACCATTATAGAGCATAAAAAGTAGCAACTGAATTACTTTTTATTATTACTGTTACTTTTTACTTATGATACTGTTTTATATCTCTTTACCTTCAGTGTTTTTTTAATTTTGTATACATTGTTATATTCAGTACTTTTCTATTCTATTTTTAACACAATCTAAGATGACCTTTTAAATGCTACCTATATCTATTTCTTATTTCTTTTATATTTTACCTTCTTTCTGACATATTGTTTTATATTTTCATTTCTTATTTATTGTTGTGTTAATCTCCCTTTTTTTTGTTTTGCAAGTAAGTATAAAGCACTTTAATTAAGAATGTTTTTTTTTTGCTGTTTTAATTTTTTTTTTAATTTATTTATTTATTGAATCACCATGGGAAAGGTTACAAAGCTTTCAGGTTTAGGTCTCAGTCATGCAAATATCAAGCACATTTCCCTTTACCAAAACTTATTTTTTACCATGAAGAACCCCAATAAAACCCCACCCCCCACCCCTCCCAGTCCCTGTGGGGCAGATGAATTCTAGTTAACACTCTATCTGCTTTGATTAGATTCATTGTTTCAATAAAAGATTCACCACTATTATTTAGAGTTTATCCCCCCACCCCCAAATCAGACAGGCTGACAAAGCATTGTGAAGTGATTTGCTTTCTATAGCTGGGTTCAAGAATTATATGTTGGTTTTGGATTTCTGCTATTTTACTTATTGACCCTGGAAGTATTTCTACTGAAAGTCAGATAGTTAAGAAATTGGTTTCTGTGCTCTGGAGTCGTGGCCGTGCTGGAGAGCCGCTAGTGGGGGGCAACTGGTGGCCTCGGTAGGGCATGAAGGACGGACCGGAACGCCCCCCTTCCCATGAGGTTTTAGTCGCCCCCACTCCACCGGCTCATAACTGCTGTCCACAGGGCTCCCATGCAGCCGCCATCTTTCTTTCCAGAGAGGAGAAGGCGACCGGGCAACACCCTTTCCCCTCCGGACAGACATGATGGCCTGGATTAACGCATAGTCTGTTCACTTTTCTGCTCCAAGCTGTCGAGTTCTGCATTAAGTCCTTGTGCTTCTGGGGCTGTGGCCATGCTGGAGAGCCGCTCGCGGGGGGCAACTGGTGACCTTGGTAGGGCGTGAAGGACGGACCGGAACGCCCCCCTTCCCATGAGGTTTTAGTCGCCCCCACACCCCCGGCTCATACCTGCTGTCCACAAGGCTCCCATGTGGCCGCCATCTTTCTTTCCAGAGGGAGGAGGGCGGAAGGGACCAACACCCTTTCCCCTCCGGGCAGACATGATGGCCTGGATTAACGCATGGTCTGTTCACTTTTCTGCTCCAAGCTTCCGGGTTCTGCATTAAATCCTTGTGCTTCTGGGGCCGTGGCCGTGCTGGAGAGCCGCTCGCGGGGGGCAACTGGTGACCTCGGTAGGGCGTGAAGGACGGACCGGAACGCCCCCCTTCCCATGAGGTTTTAGTTGCCCCCACACCCCCGGCCCATACCTGCTGTCCACAAGGCTCCCATGTGGCCGCCATCTTTCTTTCCAGAGGGAGGAGGGTGGAAGGGACCAACACCCTTTCCCCTCCGGGCAGACATGATGGCCTGGATTAACGCATAGTCCTTTCACTTTTCTGCTTCAAGCTGCTGGGTTCTGCATTAAGTCCTTGTGCTTCTGGGGCCGTGGCCGTGCTGGAGAGCCGCTCGCGGGGGGCAACTGGTGACCTTGGTAGGGCGTGAAGGACGGACCGGAACGCCCCCCTTCCCATGAGGTTTTAGTTGCCCCCACTCCCCCGGCTCATACCTGCTGTCCACAAGGCTCCCATGCAGCCGCCATCCTTCTTTCTAGAGAAGAGAGGGCGAATGGGGCAACACCCTTTCTCCTCCGGCAGACTTGATGGCCTGGATTAACGCATGGTCCATTCACTTTTCTGCTCCAAGCTTCCGGGTTCTGCATTAAGTCCTTGTGCTTCTGGGGCCGTGGCCATGCTAGAGAGCCACTCGCGGGGGGCAACTGGTGACCTCGGTAGGGCGTGAAGGACGGACCGGAACGCCCCCGTTCCCATGAGGTTTTAGTCGCCCCCACACCCCCGGCTCATATCTGCTGTCCACAAGGCTCCCATGTGGCCGCCATCTTTCTTTCCAGAGAGGAGAGGGCGAATGGGGCAACACCCTTTCCCCTCCAGACAGTCATGATGGCCTGGATTAACGCATAGCCCATTCACTTTTCTGCTCCAAGCTGCTGGGTTATGCATTAAGTCCTTGTGTTTCTGGGGCTGTGGCCGTGCTCCAAACTTAACTATGATTTTCAGAGAGAAACGTTGGGTGGTTTACTTCCCATGAATCACTTTGTATATAGAGAGATGTCACGCGGCCGCGTGAGCGGCCGTGCGGTTTTGAGGAAAAGTCCAAGTTCCCGCATACTCGAGCTGTGGTTGTAGAGGCTTCTGGTCACCGGGGTTCCATCTGGGGGAGGCGGGATGCGGTACCTACCCCATCTGGGGCTTCCCGATGATCTCGGCTCTTTTTGGAACCTGTTTTTTTTTTTTCCTTCGGGATCTGTGGATCCCGCCCTCCATGTTGTCCTTCTCTTCAGCTGAATGCTGTAAATATGGCGCTGGGGGGGCGGGCTGTGGGCGTGACTTCCGGAATCTGAGGTTACCTGGGAGTTGTAGTCCCGGCAGATTTGAGGAAAAGTCCAAGTTCCCGCATACTCGAGCTGTGGTTGTAGAGGCTTCTGGTCACCGGGGTCCCATCTGGGGGAGGCGGGATGCGGTACCTACCCCATCTGGGGCTTCCCGATGATCTCGGCTCTTTTTGGAACCTGTTTTTTTTTTTTTCCTTCGGGATCTGTGGATCCCGCCCTCCATGTTGTCCTTCTCTTCAGCTGAATGCTGTAAATATGGCGCTGGGGGGGGCGGGCTGTGGGCGTGACTTCCGGAATCTGAGGTTACCTGGGAGTTGTAGTCCCGGCAGATTTGAGGAAAAGTCCAAGTTCCTGCATACTCGAGCTGTGGTTGTAGAGGCTTCTGGTCACCGGGGTTCCATCTGGGGGAGGCGGGATGCGGTACCTACCCCATCTGGGGCTTCCCGATGATCTCGGCTCTTTTTCGAACCTGTTTTTTTTTTTTCCTTTGGGATCTGTGGATCCCGCCCTCCATGTTGTCCTTCTCTTCAGCTGAATGCCAAGAATGTTTATTTTTTTTAAGTCAATATAAAAAAACAAACAGCTTGTTCAGTAGTATCTGCATACCTCTTGATTTAACATTTCTCTTTGTAGAAATTTAAAGACATTTTGAGAGCAATTTTCATTTCCTCATTATTTGAAATAGTGAAATTTTGGGAAC